GAAAGAGGATGCGGGAAGGGGATAGAGTTCTCAAAATGAAATTTCAAGAAGTCATTCCCTGCTGGGAGTCAGTAAGTTACACTTACTGAACGTAAAAGTTACACATACTGAATGTAAAAGAATGGCAAGAGTTGCCTCTTACCAATACAAAGCATATCATGCTAAGCTCCTCTGTGGGTAATTCTCACCTGTATTGCTTATGTTAAATTTGGGTTTAGGTCTTTTTTTTTTTTTTGGTTATTATTTCATTTCATTGGTGATTTTTCTTGTGTGTCTCTAGGTCAACATGACTGTGTGACGGTCATCAACAACTTCTTTCCTCGTGAAAGGCTGGACTACTATACTAAACCTCAAGGCTTAGATAAAGAACCAAAACTGCCAGTAAAATTAGCTGGGCCTCTACATAAAATTATTACTACTACTAACATGCATCCTGTTAAGGTGGAGTAATATTTAAATTGTATACGTTTGTTGGCATGGGAACTGTTTCTTTATGTCAGAAAGCATTCAACTCTTCAAAGTCCAATTGAGATCAAAAGCATTATCCACTAATTCAGATGCTTCTGAAAATGAGAAAGAATTGGGCTCAGTGTTTAGACATGACTCAAAGATGAAGCTATTTCAGTGTTTATATACACGAGAATCTTGAACTAACATCTTTAAGTGGAGAGATTCGTACTTTTTGCATCAATAACCATAAATAGCTTTCTTTTTTGGCTTTTTTTCCTAGCCCCACTTGAAGTGGAAACGTAAAACAATTTCCTATCTTAACAAAATCTCATTGTCCTCTGGGTGCTTGTCGCAGCATCTGTCTTCCTACCTTCATCACTGGTTCACCATAGTAACATCCACTGCTGCTGCTGCTGTTTCTGAAAGTATGGGCAAGAGGGGTTTATTTTTACTTCCCAGTATTTTTGCTGAAAATAATGTCTTTTATGGTTTGCTCTTCCAGTGTAGTTCAGAGAAATTAATACACCTAAATTCAAAGACAAGTTCCTTGGGCTTGGCATTCAAAGTCAGCAATTTGTCAACAGCTGCCAACCAGGTATCTGCAGTACATACAAACAGTAATGCACCAGTGGCAGCTAATTTAGCGAGCAGAGTATACAGTTTCCTCTTAAAATGGTTAGTTCGGTGCTTTACTAGTCTTCCTGAGGTACTTCAAGATTATGTGAGGCTGATGCGTTCTGTGAAACTGCTTAAATCATACAAGTGCAGTTTATTTTAGGTGTTCAAAAGGAGAGAGATTTTAGGCCAGTGTATAGTAGTTTCTGTAACTGGTTCTTTTGAAATGGTTTTGATTCTTCAGGTTCTTATTCTGGAAAAATCCTTATTATTTTTAATACCAGTCTTAATTTTGAATGTTTCTTTTATGGGAACTGTGAATTACAGTATACTAAATAGTAATACTAAATAATGACTGGAAAAAGAAGGGGAAGACTGCATAAGGTGGAAGTAGAGGAGTATTAGAAACTCCACTGAAATTTAGCTACAATGAGCTATGTAATCTTTAATGCTAATGCACAAGTTTTAAAAATATTAGTTCCTAATTGGATTACATTTTCTTCAATCTTTCTCATAGATCGTGTTGCTGGTAAAAGAGAACCCTCTATTGGCCGAAGTAGAAGCACTGCAGAAATGTTACAGGGTTCTGGATCTAATTTGTGAGAAATGTATGAAGCAGAAAGATATGAATGAAGTACTTGCTATGAAAATGCACTACATCAGTTGCATCTTCCAGAAATGTATCACATTCTTAAAAGAGCGAGAGGATAAACTGGATGGATTTATTAAAAGGTACGTATTTCTACAGAGAGGTCTGAAGGCATACGTATGAAGCAGCTTTACAGATATCAGAAAAAGACAACTGCAGTAATAGATTGGATTGTCTTGGATAAAGGCTATGCCAAGTAAATTTTGAAATAATCCCAGCTGCGGTCACTTCAGGGTGGCACTGACTCCCTTTTTTCTGTCTGAAGTGGCATTGTCCTTTCCTGGGGTACAAAGGAAACATTCCTAGAGTTTCAGCTCCCTGCTGGAACTGGTTAGAGCTTGGCAATCACACATACGCTGTGAAGCAGCAGAGAGCAACATGTGGTGGAGAAAAAGGGGAGCGATAGGCTTGAAAAAAGAATTTCTCAGTGTCTGATATGGATCATCTGGGAACATTTCTCTTGCCATTTTGCTCTCCAGCAAGTCATACAGGGTGAGATTTTTTTTCAGAAACACTTAAGCAACCAAGAACTGCAAGTCCCACTGGCTCTGGATGAGACTTGGATTCTTAAATCACTTAGACAGATCTTCAGAACCTACTCAGAGTTACAAAACCAGCTGCCTGATCTTAAGTATCAAAGTAAATGACCTGGCTTTTAGAAGGATCACATTCCCCATAGACCTCCATGGATTTCTGTGTGATACTGAAAATAAATTATGAAGTCAGCTTTCACACACTAAAATCAAAATTTCATCAGTGATCCATATAAAAAAGCAGGAGCCAACCAGATAAATGTAGAAGCTTCAGGACTATAACATGTTATTACACATACGTAAAGCAGAATTGGTATTTTAAAGTATTGTGTATTCTCCAGTGTTTATTTTTACAATGCTCATTTTTAAATGCAACAGCGTTTTGCTACTTCAGTCTGATGTAGATACTAGTCTACCTGTAGATGATTATTTTTCTCTGTGTGGCTGAATTAGTAAGTAGTGGTTTCAGAACATACATTTAGTTATTTTATATTTCATAATGATTGTGCATTAGAATAAAAATAAATTAATTTGCATTTTAAACACTTGCATTTGAAGTTGTCAAATTATTTTGAATTATAATTCTTCTCTATAAATTGAAACAGGACAGAGTCAGGAGAACAGAGTACAGCATGCTGTGTATTTGTTCTTGAACATTTACTGTGTGATTTCTTATTTGACTTTGGTTTTAAAAAATCTAGTCTCTTGAAAGGGAGAGATAAAGATGGTTTCCCTGTATATCAAGAGAAGCTAATTCGAGAAAGTATCCGAAAGTTCCCTTACTGTGAAGCTACGTTGCTCCAGCAGCTCGTGAGAAGCATTGCTCCTGTTGAAATAGTAAGTTTTGCCTATCAAGAAAATACTTTCCAAGCAACTTGCATAGTAAATTCAGTTTGAAGTAAGCCATCTTTCTGTTTCTCAGCTTCTGCAATGTATTATATTAAGGAAAGGTTTTTGAATGTCCCTGAACTCTCTGGCAAACTGGAATTTTATTTTACATATTGCAGGAAAATGCTCTAAAATACTTCAACTAATAGTTTTTTCCTGTGCCTATAATGAATGCTTAAATACCTCAGCTTTTAAAGAAAATTGGAACAGGTTGTTTCTGTGTCAGAGCTTTCTTTTCCTACTCTGGGATGTCTGTTCAGTTTTTCTTCGCCCATTTGCTTTTACAAATTGTAGATTCAGACACAGATGAAACCCATTTTGCATTCTTTTTTCACAATGTCCAAATTCAATTTAAGATCAAATAATTTCCTAGATTTAATGCATTTCTAGTGTACACAAAAAGTTGGTAATATATGACGGTAGAAGAAGGGAAAACATTCTGTGAAACTCCTTTTGTCACAGAGAGAGGCAAGATGATGCAATATAGAGTAAAATGCATATCTAAATTAGGAAATCAAAATTACAAGTAAAAAAATCTAACTTCAGTTTTTCTCATACATCTTTGCTAGCACACTCTTCATTATAGTACTATTAATTAGTTCGTAACAAATCTCACACAAGAGTTGTTATTCTCTTTTAAGAATGTTCTCTCTGGTCTCTGAGAGCTAGATGTCATATGCACTAACACCGAGGAAATGGAACAATTTTGTGACGTGTTTGGATTATGCTGAGTGAATTAAAAATAGCCTCCATCTTAAGTGGCTTCAGTCTACTAAAATGTCCTGAGGCTTAATGCAATCCCTACTGTTTGTCTAAGCCAGAAAAATAAACACAGTGTGAAAACATAAGCCATCGTGATGCATTAAGACTTGCTCTAGAGTAAACATTTTCCTTCCTGTTCTTTTCTTCTTGGAAGAGCTTGTAGCCTTTTCTGCCTTCTCCCTTTAAAGAAATACAGTTTGTTGCCTTGGATTTCTATCCGTTATGCAGAACTGGGAAGGAGGAGATGCTATAAATTTTTAATTCCCTGGAAGGCCTTGCCCTTTGGCATGCACAATTACTTGGATTCAGTCTGGGCATCTCAGCATTGTCGTAATAGTTATGATCGTGCATCTTCCATGGTAGTCGAACAGTTTAAGGGTTTACTTAGAGCTGGAGCAACCGGGCATTTTTTTCCTCCAATATTTACGTCATTGCCCAAGAGAATACTTGTGATTTATGCTTACCAGTAAAATATACTAAATCTTACTGCTTGTATTGCATGGGAAAGATACTGCAACTAATATCTAAATAATAATATGCGAATAATTTTTTTGAAGATTCCGAGTTCTGACCATTTGGTCTGTAGTATCTGAGTACACCGAGCACATAGTATTTCAGTGACAAGCAAAATATCTTTCTGTGTGCCAGCACAGAGACTAATCTGCGAAAACCTGCTGCCTAGGATCTACAAGTGGATGACAGTGTGTAAAGAACACTGAGTTCATTAATAGTATTGTTAATAATTTACAGAGTAAAAAATGATAATTTTTATCCTCCCTTCTACAGAAGCTAAGGACTGAGTTAACTTTATATACAAAAATCTGTCTAGCTGTATAAATGTTAGGTTGTGCAAATTCATTGAAGTTCTGTGATTTAGTTTTATGTTCTTGCTGCTATGGCATCTTCAGTGAGACTGCAGCTGGCCGCTTGCATTGCTTGTTTTGTTTTTCTCTTGTGTGTCCCTAGTGTTGGTTTTTAATCTCATTATCACCTCTTGTCTTACCTTTCAGGGGTCTGATCCTACAGCTTTTTCTGTACTGACACAAGCCATTACTGGCCAAGTGGGGTTTGTGGATGCTGAATTCTGTACAACTTGTGGGGGAAAGGGAGCGGACAAAAGATGTTCAGTATGTAAAATGGTAAGAATCCATAAATAGTTATGATGAATCACGAAAAATAGTGCCACTGAGGTGCTGAGGATTTTGAATGCTTGACTATTTACTGTGTAGAGCTATGCATGTATGCCTACACTGAAAATGTGCAAGCCATCTACTTCTCAGAGAAATGCCTGAAATTCACAAGTAGGAGTCCTTAGATTTCCGAGTGTGTGTGTTTAAGAATTAAGAAGGAGTAAAATTTCTGTATGTTTAGAGCTAGCAAAAAACCCTATTCTTTAGAGTTTTATATAGGTTAGAATCACTCCATGTGAGCTTACAAATTGCTTAAAAATACCATTAAGTAATATACATAGAGATTTAACTTGGTACACTAAGAAATACAAGAATATTGTATATTCTTTTAGTACATAAAGATGAATTGATAGCTCTGGTAACTTTCAGGTGATGTACTGCGACCAGAACTGCCAGAAAATACACTGGTTTACCCACAAAAAAGTCTGCAAGACCCTGAAGGAAATCCATGAGAAACAAGAACTAGAAGCTGCCAAAGAAAAAAGGAAACAAGAAAAAAAGCAAAAGAAAGGTTAGGATCTATAGTTTGCTTGTTGAACCTAATGCTGCATTAACTGCACCACAAGGGACAATAGTAACAGGTCTTAAAATCTGTAACAGCTGAGGTTGAAAGAAAAATCTTTGTTGTAACATAACAGCATACCTGCATTTGTTGGAATTCTAGTCTTTCAATTTACAAATGCTAGGTGCTTTCTAAAATCTGGTTTTTAATTCTAGAGTTACACAGGTTTCTACAACTAAAGCGTTCTGAATTACACTGCACTGTTTCAAAATCCAAATCTTTAATCAAAATCATGCAGAAGTTTCACGCTACTCTACCTTTTGTTGGAGGTGTTAGAACAAGTTGGATAATAAGAAGGAAGCCCACTCCTTCCACTTGCAACGGTTAACGTAGATGTTAATTCTCCTGTAATACTTCCTTCTTCATAATCACTGTATCGTGTTGTGTTGTGTACTTCCAGTGTGAAGAAAGGAAGCATTACTCTTTAAATCGTTAATGGTGTTTTTCTCCCTTCAATAAGCAAATAATTAATACATAATGACAGAAAAAACACTGTATCACCCCCCTCCAACTTACTGTGATAAAATGTTTCTGTAAGTGAAGTAATAGGAAAATCACTTTTTCTCTTTTACAACTTATTAGATTCCCCTTCCCTTTTTTAAGGATTGTAGAAATGCACTGGACAAATCACACTTTTCTTATAATGGTAATATTCTTCACTTCAGCTGGACTGTAAAAACTATAGCAGGTTATAAATGAGGAATAGATTAGTAATTATTGAAGTTTTCAACAGCTTCCTGTGATGATCCTGTTCCAACAGTTGCTGTTGCATGGGATCAAGATGACTATGGAAGTTGGAGGCGAGGCTACTAGAAATCCCCGCATATATTGCATACCAACACAGCAAAACATAACGAGCTGTGAGCGGTGTGGTGCCTCACACCGGTGACAGATATACACGCTTGCAGGTTCATATTAACAGAACACGTCAGTGGCCAGGCGCTGTCCTCTTCAGGGGAAGAGACAGCATCTTGGATGGCTCTTCTCCCTCCCTTCCTAAAAAGGGAAGCTAACATTTTTGACGTGTTACTACTGCACTATCTCCATGTTAATCTTCACTAACTTCTTCAGCTACATGGCCAACACACTATAGACCTTACCAGATTATGCATTGTTAGCAAGGCAGTGAATTCATCCTACCTTCAAGTCACCTGGTGAATGGTGTGTGTCAAAGCTGCTCTTATCAACAGCAGTTTTATTTCAGGAAGCTAATAATACTCCCTACAAATCCTATACATTGGGGTGGGGGGAAATCCCACAGCTGCAGCTACAAGTAAAACCAAGCGTTTAAGAGTTTCCACTGTACAAGGGCGAGTGTTAAGGAAGTCTATGCTTCAGCCCGCGCTTAAGGCAGTTAGCTCCATAGCCAAATGAGACCTTGGCAGGGCTTTGGCAGGGTTGTGGCTAGCTGTGACAGTGTTTTCAGCTGGCTGTCAACCTTCACAGAGAATGAGAAACCAAGATGAACTCCTTCTGAAGGTGCCGGGGCCCCCCAATCAGGGCACGAAGTTATTTAACATTTTTTTTCTCTGAAAACATTGCTTGAAAAGTAAAGGTGCAATAGATGATTGCGTTCCATGCAGTCAGGTTATAAACTTTAGGATGACTCACTTCAACTAAAGTTCATTGTGGTCAACTGTTTATTAGCAAATAATTTCTTCAGTCTGTTACATGCAAAAATGCTCCCTACGTAATCACATACAGGTGTTTTGTTTTGTTTTGTTTTGTTTTTTTTAAAGAAAACCCCCCAGGTATTCTATGTTTAACTGGCCTGCAGCCTTTCTTTGAAAAGCTAACTGTAAGAATAGTGTCAATAAAGCATGTTTGACTTGAAAGTTAAAATAACTGTAGGGTCCTACTCTGCTTCTCTATATATTAAAAAGAAGTATGGCAAAATTGAAGATAAATTAATGAGGGCTTTGTGTAGGGTTAGTTTCAGAGTAATCTTAGGGTTTTTTTGATGAAGCTTGGTTAAATTAATCACCTTTGTAATTGATGCAAAGTGTCCTAGTGTCTATTATTCTTCAATTAATAAAAATGTTTGCTTGCAGATGAGTTCCGTGTTTGCTGATGATGCAATTTCTCTTTTGTTTAGATGAAGTGCAACTAGCAGAGGGTAGTTCTACAAGTGAAGAACAGTCAGATCCTGGTCCAGATGCTACCAAAGAAGTGGATCCCAATCATGCTACTGACCGACCAGAAGAACCTGAATGTACCAAAGAGACGGAGGCACTAGCCCTGCACCCTGAAAGTCCACTGGAAAGTGAGGCTGGCTTAGCTGACATTGCTCTTCAAAAAATTCAAGATTCTGAAGAGTAAGAAGAGGGTGGGAAGGGACTAGGAGTTCCGGCTACGTCCCTGTACCTCAAGGGCCCTAAAAAAGTTTTTATGCTGACTATGTCCAAGTTCTTACAGCATGGCTTATGCAAGACTCCCTGTGAAAGACAGCATGTCTCTGTTCATCACGAGATGAAATACTGGCTAATTTGTCTATAGATACTTCAGGTTCTGTTCTGGATTGTCAAAATAGGTATTTATTATCTGATAAAAACTAGAGTGGCATAGATCCATCTGTATGTATACCAACAGTAAGCATAGTAAAAATCTATGAGTATCTGTGGTTAATGAGCCACTTAGTGAAAAATAAAAAGCATTTGATGTGGATTATTCATGTTTTCAGAACCTAAAATCTATTTTAATTGTAATTTAAATATTTTTTCTGCAAGTACACAGAACTGTAGTTAAAAAGCATTGGGAAGCCAACTGTTAAATTGCTTTTTTTACATCGCTTTATGAAGCTTTATCTGAAGGGATTCAGTAGCAGTTAAGTTTCTGAAGGTACTCATCTGAATTCTCAACTTTTCATGACATTACTGTAAATATTTTTGACTAGTGAGTGCACAACAAATAATGTCTATTTTGTGGCAATTTTATTAAATGATACTGCTGTTTCAGATGTCTCAAGCTGACTGGGAAATATGTGTCTCAACAGAATTATTTCACTATTGATTTGGTCAAGAATATTTCAAGTTTATCAAACTCTAATGAAGGGAAGACCAGAATGACTTAAAATGTTTTGACTGACATGGTTTCTAAATCTCAGCTTTCAGGGAAAGATGCCTTTGAGCACACTGGGATGTTGCTTATGAATTATTTCATTAACATAAAAGATGCTTAATATTGGTCATGCTGAACCTGGTCCCACTGAATTAGATGGGAAAATTCATGTGTGAATTGGTACGACTGGGATTTCACTTAGGCATTCAACTAAATTCCATATCTAGAAGATAGCTTCCCTTAACTGCGCTGTTTTCACTCAGATTTACTACTGTGTCTAATTGTTGGATGAATAACTGGTGTTTTGAACATGGCAATATCCTTCAACTTAGAGTAATAAGGACCATCCTCAAAACAGAGGAAAAATGCTGTTAATTTTTTACTATTTAATATATTGAAAGTTTTTGTTTAATATTCTGAAAGCTGGAAGAGTGAGGATACATAAATGCAGCTGTGCAGGGAATGTACCTGTGTTTTAATTTCAAGGGTTAGTAAATTGTGAAGAATAAAGGGAAGTTTTTTAAAAGAAGGGAGCTGTGTGGCCATTCTGTTTACTGCATCTGTGAATGCCTGTTGGGACATACGGTGACAGTCTCACGTGACACGCAGGGGCCTCCGGTAGCTCGAGTGTACAAGTTTAACTTCATGACAATTGGCAAGCAAGAGATGCATGCCCGGAACTTAGATACGGAGTCACCGTCCACTCTTGGATCTGGGAATGCAGAAGTGCTGCTGGTTCCCTGTTCTACACGTAACATTTGGGGCTGACGGGGATGTGTTGCTCTTTAACGTTTCTCTGAAATGCAAGCCCTTTAGGACAAATTATTCAGGATTTTAGAAGTATGGTAAAATGCACAGCACAAATCCTGCTTTCATTCTGCCAGCCAGCGCTTTTGCTTGATAAAGAAAAGCCCCAGCAATAGGAGAAAGTATGAACGTTGGAAAGAATAGGTGTGAAGTGTGGGATCGTTGATGCGGATTATGGAGTTGCATTTGTTCTCATTCTAATTTGAAAAGGCTTCGAAGTCATTACGAGCAGAGGCTGCCACGCTTCCCTCCCTCTGCAGCGAGTCTCAGAGGAGAGCAATTGCAATCCAAGTTAGGGTCCTGGTGTGCCCTGAGGCTCCAGAGCTGCCTCTGCCTTCCTCAGCTTGAGCTGGCCACAGCTCTTCTGTTGGAAGCTCATGGTTGGTAGGTCCTCCGTAAACCTGGAGTAATGACTAGCTCTTGTGTAATCACCAACTGGAGGAACCACCTCGTGACAAGTTACTTATAAGGCGCTTAAAGTAGAATGAAAACTCCTATGCAGTTCACTGACTTCTGAAGCAAGGTTTTAAGTGACAAGACAGCCGTGGAGTGCCAAGCCAGCAGACACTCTTGCACCTTCAAGGGTGTGTCATTTTCCCCTCCACTAGGAAAAACGGAGTTCTCACTAATTTGGCTGTTTTGTTAGATAAAAGAACGTAGCAGCCGTGAATCCGTCTAGCTGGCCTCATCACAGTTCTTGCTCCCCAGTTCACTTTTAGGCTGGTTTTTTGTATCTACTGTCTCTTCTACTGTTTTCTTCACCTTGGGAAATCTGATTGAATTAAGAATATATAAAAGTTTCTAAAACTATCTGAGCCTATCTTCTAGTGAACTAAAGGTTGCATGTTCAAATCACTTTAGATTTTTGATGCAGGTAGATTTTCAAGGTTTTTCTTCATCTAACTAAAGGGAATTCTCAGCAAAATTTGAAATTACCTTTATAATTTGAGTATTTCTTCATATATAAATAGAGACTCAAACCTTTTGACAAAGCTCAGATGGATGAGTATATGGAAAGCATTGCTTTCTAAGTAAGGTGGGCATGTTGGCAGTTGGTGATTCTACTGACTTGTGCCTTGTTGGACAGCATCCAATATTTGCAAACTACAAACGTGAACAGGTAGCAAACATTACGATGAAGAGCTTCTGGATGCCACGGTAGGGTTTTTTTGTTTAATCTATGCATTCCTGGGACACTTGTGGCCAAAAAATCTAAGAGGTTTTGATGGACTTTTCCCCATCAAATATCATATATATAAAGTAACTCATTGTGTTCTCTGAGCCCATCTATATGCTCAAAAAGATTACAAGAAGTCATGTTAAAATTCTTTAACAGTTACTCCTGTAAATGTATACTTTCTTTTCAAAATCTATATTCTTCGGGGAAAATGTTAAATTAGTTGTTAAAAAAGATTCTGTAAATAAACGTTGAAAGATTGGATTGCAGCATTCTCTGAGCAGAAAACTGAAAAAATTCTTCATTTCACTTTAATTTTTCTTTAATCAAAAGAAGACAGGGGCAGAAAAATATTCCAGGCCAGAAATACTGTGCCTCTATTTTGATCCAAAAATTTGGAATCAATGAAATTTACTCTGAAATGACATTGCTTACTACCTTAGTCTAGCTCCAAATTCCAAGTCTGCTTTCAGAGAATATGTCTTAGTTTCAGCCTTTTCCATGTCTATTATGACATGTAAAATCTACAGATTCTGGGATTGTGAAATTGCTGCTATGAAATGGTTACATCATAGACTATGTCCATGAGCATAGTCAGCTGTCAGAGTTCAAAAGACTCAAGACAAACTAGGGATTACACTTACTAAACCTAATGGAGAGTTACTTAGCGGGGACCCCTTTAAGAAAACATGTTAGCCGAAGCTTAGTTTGGTCTAGCTTCTCTGTCGACTGATTCAATTTGAGAAATAAAACATTCTTGAAACATAATCGAAACCAATGTGTTGATCTACCTTTTAAAACCACAAAGATGTGGCTAATTGAAGGGCATTTACAAATGCACGGAACTTTAAGCAAGAAAAATAGGGAAGTTGAAATCAAAAAGGAAGGAATCCAACATGAAAAAGGTGAAAGGAACTACGAGATGTAACAAAGATGAAGTTCTGTATGTGGGATGGAGTAATCCCAAGCAGCCGTACCGACTGGGATCTGTCGGGATCTGCTAAAAAGGACCTGGGGTTCCTGCTGGGCAGCAAGCTCACCTGGAGCCAGCAGTATGCCCTGGCAGCTCCGAAGGTACACGGTGCCATGCAAAGTATAGTGCAGCCGGCAGATGGAAAGTGTAATTATTCCACTTGACTTGGCAGTTGCTAGGCCACACCTGGAATACTGTGTCCCATTTTGGTCAGCTCAGTTGAAGAGAGACATATTAAAAAACAAGAGAGGTCCAGCGAGGGTGCCACCACGATGATCAGAGGGGTGCAGGAATTTGGTTTGTTCAGCCCAGACAAAAGAAGACTTGGGGAGATCTAATCACAGTCTTACAATACGTAGAGGCAGTGATAGAGAAGAAGGGGGATGCGCAGTGACAGGACAACAGCCAACAGGCCCAAGTTGTTGCCGGTGAAATTCCATCTGAATATAAGAAAAATGCTCTGGAGCGCAATTAAACAGTGAAAGAGATTGCCCAGAAGTGGTGGTACCTCCCTCATTGGAAATCCTTGACTCACCTTGACAGAGCACTGGATAACCTGATCTCAGACTTGCTTTCAACAGGAAGGTTGGACTAGGTAAGCTCCAGAGATCCCTGCCAACCAGGACTGTCCTGTGACTCTGTGCTAACTTAGAAGAGAAAGAAGGAACCCAGAAGACAAGCCACAGGCTGAGGAAGGGCTCTGATACGTCAGATAGCATTGACTTTAAGCCTTTGGCAGAATGAAGGGAGAAAGATGTAAGGAAATGTATTATTTTCCATCTATCTGCACATCTCCCACTAGCTTCCTTAGTGGTAACAGGCTTTAGAAGCCGAAAGTGTCGGGTGTCGTGCTACAGCATCATACGGCCCATGTGGGTATAAAAGAGTGTGTTAAAACCAGTCAGCAGTCTTGGGGCAGTGCATTGTGAATGGCAAGTTCTGCCTCTCCAAAAGGACCAGGAAGCAGAGGCCTCCAGCCTGGGAGAATATTAGCAGCCACAGACAAGAGCTAGATATCAGCGTGCCTAAGAGCTCATGGTTCCACTGTATTGAGACCAAATGAGTATCCTCATAAACCTAAGAGTTTTCAGTGCCTTCATGCAGCACACAAATCAGCAAATTGAAACTTTCATCCCTCTCAGAAATAGAAACAGCTTAATGGTTGCTTTCTTCTATCTTTATTTTGAGGGAGGAAGACAAATTACTGCTAGTGAACACGGTAAGTCTAATTCTCTAGTAGAAACTACAAGGAATGAAATTATTTATCCTTAGTTTCTTAAAAACTAACTTGCTGTTTAGCTTTAA